TGGCGAAGCCCAGAAGCCGGCAGCGGAGCGGGTGCGGGCCTCGCCTCTGCCCCCGGAGGGGTGGCCGGTGCCCGCGCGCCGAGCGGGGCGAGCCAGCGAGTAGGAAGGGGCCCCAGGACGCACACAGACCCAGACCCCCAGGAGGGGGAGGGGGAGGAGGAGGGGGAGCAGGAGGAGGAGGAGGAGGAGGGGGAGCAGGAGGAGGAGGAGGAGGAGGAGGAGGAGGAGGAGGAGGAGGAGGAGGAGGGGGAGGAGGGGGGGAGGAGGAGGAGGGGGAGGAGGAGGAGGAGGAGGAGGAGGAGGGGGAGGAGGAGGAGGAGGAGGCCGAACATGGCGAGGAAAGCCTCCGGTCGTGATGTTTTCACAGCGCGAGGAGGTCTGGGACCACCTCCCCCGGGGCCAGCTCCGACGGTCCGCGCCGTGCTCCGCGACGGCCCAGACCCCCTCGAGTAGTGAAAAAATCACGACGGGAGGTTTTTCCTCATTTTCGGCCTCCAGGGGCCCTTGCTGGGCCTCGGGGCCGTCAAAAAACGACTCGGGATGAGAAGCGGGTCCCAAGGAAGGGGTCGAAACCTCTGGGGGTCGACGTCATGAAAAAATCATGACGTCGGAGGTCTGGGTAGATACACACAAATAAGACGGTCCCCCATCTTTTCCCATATTTTCCATTTCCAGGTCGACGCCGGGAGAGCCAGCGAATATGAAGGGGCCCTAGGACGCACAAATAGATACACACAAATAGAAACGATCCCCCATCTTTTCCCATATTTTCCATTTCCAGGTCGACGCGGGGGAGAGCCAGCGAATATGAAGGGGCCCCAGGACGCACAAATAGATACACACAAATAGAAACGATTCCCCATCTTTTCCCATATTCTCCATTTCCAGGTCGACGCCGGGGAGAGCCAGCGAATATGGAGGGGCCCCAGGACGCACAAATAGATACACACAAATAAAAACGATTCCCCATCTTTTCCCATATTCTCCATTTCCAGGTCGACGCCGGGGAGAGCCAGCGAATATGAAGGGGCCCCAGGACGCACAAATAGATACACACAAATAAAAACGATTCCCCATCTTTTCCCATATCTTCTGGGTTTCTGTCTTCCCCCCCACTTCCCATACTTTCCCAGATTTTCCGGGGCATCGACGATTCATTGTGTCTGTGTGTTTTCTCCCCTCCTGAGAATAGCCGCCCTGCGGCAGGGGCAGCGAATGGGTCGATAAGGATGGGCTGACCACCCTCACCAACACCACGACACGGTCACCACGCCCACCAGGTCTTTCCACTGCCACGCCTCTGCGAATGCACCGTCTACCTTGGGGACTGGATATTTCGATGGTTCTCTGGTCGATGGGATGAGCCAGTCGGGATGAGGGGCCTGTGCGAACGGTGTAGATACTGACGGCGGGTCAATTTGAATCTCTGACAGCAGTCAAAGAGAGGTTGCGATAAGCAAACACGTGGGAATCTTACCACTGCGGGCGTCTTTCCAGGAAGTCCGCCCGGGGTCAGAATGTAAGGGGCGGCTGCGAACAAGCCACGGGCTTCTTGTGACCTTTGTTCATCTCGCTCGGACTGCCCTTGGGTTCCTGTTTGGTCCCTGTTGCGGTCTCTTGGGCCTCTGGGGCCGTCGTAGGGCATGTGTAGCACATTCTTCTCGAGCCTGGCCTCAGATCTAAGCGTTGCCTCTTCGAGACCTCTTTGGGCTGCCTTGGGTCTCCCTTCTAATCCTTATCGGCCTTCTTTTGGAAGGTGGAGTCGCTTGGAGTAAACCTACACCCTGCGAAATGCTTAAGAAATCATGGGTTAAGAAATTCAGAGTCTCAGAACTGGAATAAAAAAGCCCAACATTTCCATTAACATCTTGGGATTTACATTGAACCATTAAGAATAATCGAGACCCTGGACGAAAACCGAAGTTTTCTTACGCATCGCCTAAGGTGTACTCCGAGTAGTTCCTCTGCGCGCAGGGCGCGTCCCGCTCGATGCATCACAGGGCGCGGCGCATCGGGCGGATAAGGACGCTGCTCCGAAGAGTGACGCAAGCATCATGCCATCTTAGTAATTCGAATGCGGGATGACGATTAATACAACAAATGGGGGGGGGGGGGGAACGATTAAACAAAATAGTTTCCTGCTATCTCTGCACAAGTTTCGGACTGGAGGAGGACGATTTAAACAAATGGTTGTCCAGCCCGCGGCCGGTTTGTTCTAGTCGTCATCCCAGGCGCCGCCGCGTGAACACGACCCCCGGTCATTTATTAATCGTCATCCTCCATTAATTTTAAGAGGGATGGGGGAGATCTTCGCAGTAACCAATGGACGAAACTTTTGCCACGGCCGAGCCTGTGGCCTTGAGGACACAGCGGCCCATCGGGAGCTGGAAAGGCGAGATATCAACATGACAAAAACTCCCCCCACTGTCTAAATCTGGCCTCTCGGGGTCACTTAGCCCTGGCACTGGAAAGCTCTGAGGCACCTCTGAGCCATTCAGGGGCCTTCTTGGGGCCTATGGTGGTTTCCGGGAACCCTAAGGATCCAAATCCTAAGCTTTTTTGATATATCACCTTTTTCGATATATCCCAAGAGATGTGCGATATATCCGAAGAAATGTGGTTGGGGGTGCTCAGGGTTAACCCTGAGCACCCCCCCCCAAAGGTGTCATCTCTCGGAGGACAGATTTTCGCTTCCGCCTGCTTCCGCCGGCGCACCCGCCTCCATTTTTTACTGCCGCAGGCTTCGGCCAGCTTCTGCCGAGGAAGAGATGCCCACTCCTTCCCTGAGATCCGACGTGGCCACAGAAATTGCACCACGGCAAACGAAAACCGCGCCCGGAGCCCCAGACCTTATCTTTCTGCATAATTCTGAAGGGGCCCAAGGACACACAAATAAATACACACAAATAAAATAACCCCCTATATTTTCCCATATCTTCTGGGTTTCTGTCTTCCCCCCCCACAGCCCATATTTTCAAATCTTTTCCTGGGAGTCGACGATTCATTCAGTCTGTGTGTTTTTCCCTCTCCTGAATTGTACATCCGCAGGCTTCGGCCAGCTTCTGCCGAGGAAGAGATGCCCACTCCTTCCCTGAGATCCGACGTGGCCACAGAAATTGCAACACGGCAAGCAAAAACTGCGCCCGGAGCCCCAGACCCTATCGTTCTGCATAGTTCTTCGAGCCGGGTACAGTGAGGGCACCGGGGCCCGAGAAGAGGCGACAGCGCCGGGCTCCAAACAACTGAGGCGCCAGGATCTCAGGGCTCGATCCTCGAGGGCGAGGCCCTACATTGAAGTCGGGCCTGTCCCCCTGCAGGGGGATTTTCGAGGAAAAACAAAAATACCCTCCAAAATACCCCCCAAAAAGGTAAACACATATTCAAAGCATAAAAAACTTTCTTCTTGTACAAAAAAAAACTATTGTTTGATTATGTTTGGGGTATTTTTTATTTTTCGTCGAAGATCCCCCTGTAGGTTCAGATGTCACGGGCCCCCTTTGAGGCCCCTGGGGAGAAATCTTCGAAATAGCTCAAAATTGTCTTAAAAAATACATTTGCGTTTGTCCCTACGACATGCATAGAGGCTCGGATGTCGAGGAGGTTTCCCACCCGCAACGTATTTACGCTCGACATACGAGCGACATTGTCCGATGCGAAAGAATTGTCTCTGTGAAAAGGCTTTAGCACTCAAGCCGCGCGCGCGGCATCGCGAAACGTTGCGATGCCGCGCGAACGCGCTCTGGCCACCTTGGGCCAAAACAGCCCCTCGGAACGCCACCTGGGGAGTCCCGCCTGCCGGGCGCGTCGGACCTCGCCCCGCCCGCGGCGAGACCGCGCTCCCCCCCGGGGCCCTACGATCTGCGGCGCTGGGGGGGGGGGGGACCTGGCGTGCGGAGAGCAGCCCTCTCCGGGGGGAGGGGGAGGAGGAGGAGGAGGAGGAGGAGGAGGAGGAGGAGGAGGAGGAGGAGGAGGAGAACGGCGCCGGGGAGGGCTGACCTGGTCTACGGAGCACAGCCCTCTCCGGGGTCCCAACTTCGCCACCCCTCCTCCAGGCGGTGTGAGGGATTCATGTCTTGCCTGTGCGGCACACGTGGTTTCTGCCCACCGTTCGTTTTCACGAAGTTGCAGCTGCAGTGCTGCTTCCAGCGCCTGCCAGGACCTGCCATGCGGCTCGGAAGCCCTGGAGCCTTCGGCGCTCTGAGCCAGCACGTCTACGATTTGTGCACAGTTCAGGTCACAGCCGCGTCATCAAAGTGCAGCAACTTCACTGCACACTGACCAACTAACCACAGTCGGACCTAGGCCAGAATAACGTCCTTCAAGAACATGAGACCCTCCGTCGCCCCAAATAAACACAACATCCAAGGTTACCCCCCCCCAGGATGCACAAGAATATCCAACAGACACCAAGAACTCTAGGGTGCCCTCACAGAGCCGACCTTGATCTTATACCTCGTTCCGACCCTAGCCCCACCTTTGGGGAGCTTGCCCCTGGCAATGTGGGCCGTTGCTCGGCCACGCACTGCGCACCGCCACCTTGGCGCTGCAGTGTCTGTTGCGCCCCCCGGAGCCCAAGCCAGAGGTTGGGAGAGCTTTGCAACACGGGCGTCGAGACCGATAAACATTGCGATGCCTGCAGCTGCCTCGGGATTTGCGCGCGCGCGAGCTCGTGTGTGTGTGTGTGTGTGTGTGTGTGTGTGTGTGTGTGTGTGTGTGTGCGCGCGAATGCGTGAGTGCGTGCGTGCGTGCGTGCGTGTGTGTGTGTGTGTGTGTGTGTGTGTGTGTGTGTGTGTGTGTGTGTGTGTGTGTGCGTGCAGGAATGCTATAGTTTTGCAGCTCCCTCCAACAACGCAGACGAGATGCCAACATGGGATACCGCATGGACAACTTTTCTCCGACCAATTGCAAGTACTACGCATCTGGTAGAGCTTCGCAAACAAGTCCTGTGAACCTCCGCGCCGTGCCAGCTGCGATTCGCCGATCCAGGATTATTCCAATTGCTACCAGTGGGTATTTAGGTCGCGCCGCGTCAGCTGCTTCAGATCGTCGGCCTCCTCCCTCCACCTCCTGAACACGATGCCAATGGCGTCGCCTGCGTCTGTGTTCTTGGACCACTGCTCGGCCACCGTGAATGGTGATGCTCGGTCGAGAGTTTCATATCCACTGGCTTCATTTACGAACTTTCGAAACAAATTCAAGCCAGAATAATCTGCATTTGCAGAGGCCTTCTCTTGAGGATCGTTACTCTTGCGCGCGCGGTTGGCGAGCGTACACATGATGAGTGATATGAGAAACCCCCAAGGCAACTTAGAGCTTGGTGCCACTTGCCGCGCAAGAGGGACAAACAGGCTCTTGGCGATGCGCACGGCATTCTTCGCACCCCCTCCGCGCCAACTGAGGGTTGTGTTCATCTCTGCCAGCAACTCAGCCCGGGACAGCTCTGTGCGCGGCCTGAACACGCTTCGGAAGGGGACCACGTCGTACTCAGCAGGCCCGTTCGTGAACACGATGTCCACTGGATGAGAAGGCAAGTGCACAACGATGATGAAGCCAAGCACGAGCTCGACCCTTCCTTCCCACTCCGACCTCGTGCTGTTCAACTGCTTTGCGAGATCCAGTATTTCGGGCTCGTACGCGCTTCGACCTTCCACCGTCAGACTGTAATCAACATCGCTGCCTATGATATCGATATCAAGAGCAACAGAACCAATCGTGTCGAACCAGACCTTTGATTCATCGACTTCCCACATTTTCATTGACAGCATTTGTACTGTATGCAGAAGATACCTCAAGGTGTCTGCGTCGCGCTTGCAACGGCTGGAAGGCCTGCGACTTTCAGCCAAAGTTATGAATCCCGCCTGGTTCGAAATTGTGCGAGCAACCTCGCCGAGAAAACCATTCTGATGCGCCCTATGCGCACGCGAATAAACGGGATCGTCCTTCGCGTCCTGTGCCGCGTTACCAAACGCTTCATTGTCGACAGGTCTTCTGAAGCTACCTGTTCTCTGAGACGGCGAGGATGGGGGACGGGGGGGCGGGGGTAGACGACGAAGATCCCTTTCGGTATCACGAGGCCGTTCCTCTTCGCCCGGCTGGATGCGTAACTCCTCAGGATTTCCGAAGGCGTCTGCAACAACAACAGCCTCAACTGGTACGTCTGCTTGTGCCGGAGAAGCAGATGGCGGAGGAGAGCGATCCGTCGTCTGAATGGCCTCGGCCGGTCTGTGATCCGTTATGGCTTCCACATCGAACCGCACGGTGGGCAGATTCTTTCGGAGCCACTCCAACAGCATGCTCACCTGCCGCCGTGCAGGCCGCGCACCCGCGGCTCCGAGCGCCTCCAGGGCGAGGCGCGCCGCATCGTGCCTGGCGTCCTGCTTCGATCGGAACCAGCCGCCCGTGAATGACCTGCCCAGCGTCAGCAGCTCGACGGAGCTCTGGAACTCCTCGCCGCCCTCGGCCCGCGGCCGAGCCGGGGACTCCCAGAAGCGCGCGCCGCTGCCCGGCCAGAGCTCCTCGGCCAGCTCCAGGAGGCGGCCCTTGGGATTCTCGGGCGGACCCCGCGGGCCGCCCGAGGCCGCCGGCGCGCTCCGCGGGCCGGAGCCGCCGACGGCCTGGCCCAGGAAGGCCAGCGCCAGGCGTGCCGCATCGCGCTCTGCCTGCTTCTTGGTGCTTGCCCACGCCCCCTCGACCGGGCGTGGCCAGACCCAGAGATCCGACGTCGTGATCTTTTCAATACGGGGTCCCCGGAAGGTCTCGACCCATTCCCCAAGACCGGCTTTTCATCCCGAATCGTTTTTTGACGGCCCCGAGGCCCGGCGAGGGCCCCCGGAGGCCGAAAATGGCGAGAAACCTCCCGTCGTGATTTTTTTTAAGGGCGCGAGGGGGTCTGGGGCCGGGTCGCCCGCCGAGCCCCGCGCCCTCGCGCCGCCGCGGTGCGCCCTCCGCGGGCCCTCGCGCCGCCGCCCCGGGGAGGAGGGCGCCCCTCCCGCCCGCGCCGCGAGGCGCGCCGCGCGGCCGCTCTTTCCGCGCCCCCTCCGGGGACCCCGTTCTCACGGGGGGGGGGCGGCCCAGAGCGTGAGGGCCTCCCTGACTCCAGATCCGCCCTACTTTGGTTTTTTTTCCCAACTTAAAATTGCGTCGGAAATCCACCTATAAGGGGCCGAACAAGTAGGGCGGAAATTGCTGCACCCAACATAAAACAGAACGGAAATCCACAGAAACAGCAACAGAAAAGTAGGGCGGAAATTGGCATCAGCGGGGCTTGAAAAGTAAGGCGGAAATTCCAAGCCCTACTTACGAATTTTCCCAAAGTAGGGCGGATCCGAAGTCAGGGCAGACCCCCTCGAGCAATGAAAAAATCATGACGGGAGGTTTCTCGCCCTTTTCGGCCTCCGGGGGCCCTCGCCGGGCCTCGGGAGCGTCAGGAAACGACTCGGGACGACAGACCGGTCCTGGGGAAGGGGTCGAGAACCCTGGAGTCGACGTAAGGACAAAAATCATTACGTCGGGGGTCCCAGACCCCCGACGTCATGAATTTTTCAGGACGCGACCCCCAGAAGTCTGGACCCTTCCCCCGGGACCGGTTCCTCGTCCTGAGTCGTTTTGTTGACGGTCCCGAAGCCCGGTAAGGGCTCCTAGAGGCTGAAAATAATGAAAAACCTCCCGTCGTGATTTTTTCATAACTCGAGGGGGTCTGGGGTCTGGGTCCCCCCTGTGGAGGGCCTGGCGCGCGGCCTCGCGAGGGGACCCCCGATCGGGGCCCCGCGGGGCGCGGGCGGCCCGCGGCCGGCCGCCTCGGGCCAGGCGGGCTCCCGGGCTTCGGACCCGCCGCGCTTGCGGGCGGCGTCGCTCGCGGGGCGCACGTCTCGGCCCCACGGTGCGAGCTCCTGGGCTGTCGACCTCCGCCCGGCTGTGCCGCCGCCGTTTCCGCCCTGTCTTTTGCAGGACTCGCCGCTCCCACACCTCCTGAGGCGGGAAGTCCCGCCCTGCCTTTCCGCGACGTCCTGGGTGCATGTCCGACATGCCTGTAATCCGGAAGCTCAACCACAGTACGGCGGATGCGAGGTCCAGGGAGGCCGCGATGGAGGAACAGCCGCGTGTACAGTTGTGGATGCCACGACAATGGATTCCCCAACAGTCCTCTACCCTTGAATTTGAAACGTGTTTCAACTGCCGGAAAGATGGCCCAAACAGGTTTACAACATGTCTTTTACATGTCTAAAACATGTCTGACACAGGTTCCCAGACCCCCGACGTCATGAATTTTTCATGACGCGACCCCCAGAAGTCTGGACCCTTTCCCCAGGACCGGTTCTTCGTCCTGAGTCGTTTTTTGACGGCCTCGAGGCCCGGTAAGGGCCCCCAGAGGCCAAAAATAATGAAAAACCTCCCGTCGTGATTTTTTCATAACTCGAGGGGGTCTGGGTTTTAGACATCTGGAGATCACTTGGCAACATGCTTCCTCTCCATGGATCGTCCTCCGCAGGTGCACCACTGGGTCGTCGGCCCTCCGGCCAGAGCTCGGCCCTGCGGCGGCCGCTCGGGATGCTCCCAGGGCGCCCCCGGGGAACGCCCTCGGCGAGGCCCCGGCCGCTGAGAGGCATGCCGCAGCTGGCAAAACCGCCCGAGGACCCCAGACCCCCTCGAGTCATGAAAAAATCATGACGGGAAGTTTTTCGCCATTTTCGGCCTCTGGGGGCCCTCGCCGGGCCTCGGGAGCGTCAAAAAACGACTCGGGACGACAAACCGGTCCCGGGGAAGGGGTCGGGACCTCGGGGGGTCGACGTCGTGAAAAAATCACGACGTCGGGGGTCTGGGGAGAGGCATGCCGCAGCTGGCAAAACCGCCCGAGGACCCACGAAGCCGCCCGAAAACTTCAAAATACCGTCTCCAGCAGGGACCGACCGTCCCAGCATTCCTATAGTCCTGCCACGAAATGTTTTTTTCAGGACCCAAGAGTGTTCCAAGAACAGAAACGATGTTCTTAGAACATGAGCCCAGTGCGATAGGACAGGACAGGCTCTGCCAGAAGTGTTCTGGGAACATGTCGTGGACACCACAGCAGGCTCATAGAACAGTGCTTGGTAGGGCCATATAGGCGAGCCAGGACGCTTCGCCACTGCCTCGACCGTCTCTGCCTCTGGCAACCTCCGGCAGCCCTCTGGCCTGCACCGTCCTGTTCACCGCCGCGAGCCCCACGGCGCAGCGGAAGCGCCGCGGCTGCGCGGGCTCCGCCCTGGGGGAGCGCACGCGGTCCGGGTCCAGCGCCCACAGCCAAGACGTGTACCGAGGACGGGTGATAAGGACGCAAGACCCGTGGAGGCCGAAGTTGGGCTTTTTTAGGGCGGCGGGCGGCCAGTGATGATGGCAAGGACCCCAGACCCCCGACGTCGTGATTTTTTCACGACGTCGACCCCCAGAGGTCCCGACCCATTCCCCAGGACCGGTTTTTCGTTCTGAGTCGTTTTTTGACGGCCCCGCGGCCCGGTAAGGGCCCCCGGAGGCCGAGAATAGCGAAAAACCTCCCGTCATGATTTTTTCATTACTCGAGGGGGTCTGGGAGGCAAGAACACAAGGGTACCCTAGATGAGGGCGCGCGTCCTTACCAGGCGCGCTGACTGCGAGCCCATTGTCGGCGGGAGGCCCCGCGTCGCGAAGCCCAGCCGGGGGCCGCGGAGTGGCTCCCCTATGGCCCCGGGGGCAGCGGCGTGAGGGTGGGGAAGCGGCCCCACGGGGCGCCCCAGACCTGGGTCAGCCACAAGGGGGGGTTGGCTAACAGACCCCGGGCGTCACGTTTTTTTTTTTGTGTGTGTGCGTGTGCGTGCGTGTGCGTGTGCGTGTGCGTGTGCGTGTGCGTGTGCGTGTGCGTGTGCGTGTGCGTGTGCGTGTGCGTGTGCGTGTGCGTGTGCGTGTGCGTGTGCGTGTGCGTGTGCGTGTGCGTGTGTGCGCGTGTGCGCGTGTGTGTGTGTGTGTGTGTGTGTGTGTGTGTGCGTGTGCGTGTGTGCGTGTGCGTGCGTGCGTGTGCGTGTGCGTGTGCGTGCGTGCGTGCGTGCGTGCGTGCACGTGCGTGCGTGCGTGCGTGTGCGTGTGTGTGTGTGTGTGTGTGTGTGTGTGTGTGTGTGTGTGTGTGTGTGTGTGTGTGTGTGTGTGTGTGTGTGTGTGTGTGTGTGTGTGTTTTGTTGCTTGTTATATATAAATAGATATGGATTTAAATATGTTTTTCCACAACGCGTCGACCTCCTGAGGTCTCGACCCATCTCCCAGGACCAGCTCTGCACCCTGAGCAGTGCTGTGACGGCCCCGTGGCCCGGCGAAGGCCCCCGAGGTCCCGAAGCCCAGCCAAAAGCTGTGCGTCGTGTTTTTTTTATGGCTCGAGGGGATCTGGGACCGCTGACCCCCGCCACTTTGGACGCCAGGAATGGGTACAGAAAGTATGTGTGCGATGCCCAACTGCAAATGCAGTCCAAAACCGACAGCTGCCGCAATAGGGCAGGCGGCTCTTCGTCTCAAATGGACATTCAAAACGGACAGGAACTGCTTTTAGTCTTCGTGGCCACTCTTGAGAGGCCTCGGGACAGAGTAGATGGAATCGGAGGATCGCGACGCATCGCCAATGCATCGGGGATGCATCTGCGCCGTCGGCGTGGAGAAAATCGGGCTCCACATCGACCCGCATCGGCGATGCATCGGCGATGCGGCGCAATCCTCCGACCGCATCTACTCGGACCCCACCTGGGAAGCTCCCTCAGATCTGACGTTGTCAAAAATCGCAACACTGGGAGAAAACGCCCGTTGCGAAAAAAACTGCAACGCAAGGATCTCAGGGTTGTCAATCTCCGTGCGCGCCATGACTGTTTCATAACGTCGACCCCCAGAAATCTCGACCAATTCCCCCAGGACCGACTTTGCATCCCGAGCCGTTTGTTGACGGTTCCAGGGCCCGGCGAAGGCTCCCTCAGGCCGAACATAGCCACGAAACTCCCATCCCGAATTTGTCACGACGCAAAAAAATAGGCCTGGGCTCTGCTGCCCCAATACGGAACACGCAACATGTAGCGTGCTGATAGGGAGCTCAGCACGCAGACTGAAAATGTAGGTGTAACGCGACACGTTCGCCAAAACGTGGGCAAATGTGCTGAGCCAACACACAACGTATCGGCACGAACGTCTTCGGCACGGTAATTGCGTGCTGCGCTTCAAAACGGGCGCATCGAGGCAGCCAAGGGCCTGGGTCTTTTCATACCCTTGTCGATCGCACCGCGTTGCGTCAGCCCGACGGCGCGAAAAATGGAAACGTCGTACAAATGACGACCGAAGCCCTGGACCCCATCTTTCTGCGGCATTCTTCGGGCCGCACCGATCTGTGCGGGTCCCGGGCACCGAGACCTGACGCAAACGCCCGGCTCGACAAAGCTCCGGCGCCAGGATCTCATGGAGGGGGCCTGGGCCTTTCCGCACCCCTTTCGATCGCCCTGAGCTGCGTCAACTCTGGCCCGCCTCGGCTGGCCCCCGCCGGCGCGCGCCAGCTGCCCGCCGACCGCGGCCGCCGCCCCGCGGCGGGCGCGCGGCCCCCCGGGGGTGCCGCTGCCGCCCGGCCACCGGGAGGCCAAGCCCGCGACGCACGAGTGTGCACACGCTCGCAGGGTCGATGATCCTCAGAACGCGTGCCTCCCTGAGATCCCAAGCGTCGAAAAACTCATGGCGGAGGCTTCTCGCAGTCTTCGGCCTCTGTGGGGGCCGTCGCCGGGCCCCGGGGCCGTCAAGAAACGAGTCACGATGGGAATCCGGTCCTGGGGAATGGATCGAGGCATCCGGGAACCGCGCATGGAAAAAAACACGACGTCGGATCTCTGGGTTCCCTGAGATCCCGCGGCCCCGCCGCGTGAGTGCGTCCTCCCTCTCTCGCCTTCCTCTGCGGGCGTCGCTTTTCCTCTCCTCCCCCCCTCGCATGCGGGGCAATTCGCAGCGCCGTGGCCAGGTTCGGCGCGCGAGCGGGTCGCCTCTGCCGCGCCGCGACGGAATAGCTTCTCTGAGGTCCTTGCGCCTCAACTTTCTCGCGCGGGGCGCTTTCGTCAGACTTCGGGATCTGGGACACTCACAGATCGACCCGGCTCGAGAGATGCCGCAGAAGCCGATGCATCGCCGACGTCGCCGATGCACAGCCGATGCACTGGTGATGCGGCGCGCGATGCCTTTAGAGGCCTCCCAAATGAGCGACGAGGAGGAAGGGCTCCTACCCCAGACCCCCGACGTCATGTTTTTTTCATGACGCGACCCCCAGAGGTCCCGACCCATTCCCCGGGACCCGTTTTTCGTCCTGAGTCGTTTTTTGACGGTCCCGAGGCCCGGCGAGGGCCCCCGGAAGCCGAAAATAGCGAAAAACCTCCCGTCGTGATTTTTTCACGACGCGAGGGGGTCTGGGACGCGAGATGCCACAGCGACCTTACGTGGCGGCTTACGCGGACCGCCAGAGCGGCACGCCGCACTGGAAACGAGGGTGCTTGCGCGCGACCATACACGTGTGGGCAGCTCACGCGCCCACGTCGGTGAAGACAGCACCGGCGTTCTGCGTCGCTCAAGCGGGGTCCGAGCAAGTGGGGGCGGAAGATCACTGAAGGGGAACTGGGACACACAAATAAATACACACAAATAAAAATATCCCCCATATTTTCCCATATTTTCTGGGTTTTTGTCTTCCCCCCCACTTCCCATATTTTCCCATATTTTCTGGGAATCGCCGATGAATTGTGTCTGTGTGTTTTTTCCCCTCCTGAATCACGCCGCATCGCCGATGCATCGCCGATGGGCGACGTCGGCGATGCATCGCCGCCGCCGCCACACGAGGTTGCCGACGCTCGCAGAATCGACGATGCTCATGGCCCCTGCGATCCAGACGTTCCAATCCCTTCGCGCCAGGGATCTTCGCCTGGTTTCGGGTCCCAAGCCCATCACAGATCGATCCGGCTGGAAAAATGCAACAGAGATATGGGGTCGAGGGACCCCGTCGTGATTCTGCACGATGTTGCAACTCTTCTGCAGCGTCAGATCTCGAAGGCTGCGTGATACCCATACCCTTCGCGTCGTGAAGAAATCGCGAAGAACAGTTCTCCACTGTCTTTGGCCCCCGGGGGGCCTCGCCGGGCCCGAGGCCCGTCAACAGAACGAGTCGGGATGAAGAGCTGGTCCCTGGGAAGACGGTCCAGGCCTCTGGGGGTCCACGCCGTGAAAAAAGGAGGAGGAGGAGCGAGGAGGAGCGAGGAGGAGCGAGGAGGCGTGAGGAGGCGTGAGGAGGAGGAGGAGGAGGAGGAGGAGGAGGAGGAGGAGGAGGAGGCAGAGGCGGAGGAGGAGGAGGAGGAGGAAGAAGAGGAGGAGGAGGCACGTCGCCGGGGGTCTGGGTCACCGGCCCGAACCAAGAACCAGACTGTTGACAGCTCGCTGTCGCCACATCGTCAGTGATGCGCCACGCCTGCATCGTAGAGCGAGGGGGGCTGGGAAGGAGCATGCCGCTCCCTGCCAAAAAACCCTGCCACGATCGGTGGCCGCCGCCCGCCGCGATCGCCGCGGCGACCTCCAAGACCGATCCAGAGATTCGGTTCGGGGTCGGATGCAGTTAGGCTGCTGCAGTAGAACAGAAAGCGCTCCATAGGGAACGGAGCCCCGGTTTGGCACGGAGCGATGGCCTGGGTGCACGAGGCGGGCCAGAGGAGGAACCGCCCGAGGAGCCGCGAGCCCCTTCCGAACCCGCAGCGATCCTCACGTCAGCCTCCCGACCGCACCGCGCAGCGACCTCAGAACGCGTGCTGGATCGAGATTGCACGACGGACGGCTCTGTACCGTCTTCGGCCTCGGGCCCCTCGCTGGCCCCCAGACTAGGGACACGAAACATTACATAAGCAAAAAAACTAAACATAAACATAAACATAAAAAGGAACGAATAATTAGGGGGACGAAAAACTACATAAACAAAAACATAGACATACATAAACAAAAACTAAACATAAACTAGACTAGGGGGACGAAAAATTACATAAACATAAAAAAAAAACTCGGAGGCCCGCGCGGATTTCTCGGATCGGCGCTGGACCCCCCTCCCTGGCGCGCGGAGCGCGCCAGGGGCGGCGCCGGAGGCGCTGCCGGGGGGCCCCAGCGCCGATCCGAGAACTCCGCGCGGACCTCCGAGTTTTCATGTTTATGCCACTTCTTGTTCCCCTAAAAACGGCTCGGGATGCCACGCCCGCGGTCGCGCCGCATGCGTCGATACCTCTCGGCGACGTCCTTGTTGCGAAGACCCTCCCGGCGCCGATGCCGCCGGGGGTTCTGGGCAGGTGCTCCCC